GGCAATTGAAGAAACTTTTATTCTTTAATCAAATGCCAATGAGATGAATTAATGCTAGGATATGATTCTTTCATTTTCACGAGTTATGAACATAACTTATGTTCAAAACCTATCAGATTTGGGAATAGTGGATGGTAGAGAATGTGCAATAATGAGATAGGAAATTTAAATAATCGCCCATAGTTACAAGCTGCTAGATGTTCTCAGTTTTCCTATAAGAAGCTGAAGGCTCTGACCAAAAATAGAAAAGAAAAAAAATACAGAAGGCACATGTACTTGGGAAGCGAGAAATTTGACGTTTGATATTTGTGTTTTGGATTTTTTTTAATTTAACTTTTTTCAATTTTAAGGTTGAGGCAATTGTTTTGGTTTTTAATCCTTTTCTCCAAGTCCTTAGAAGTCTTTTTACAAATGGGTAATTTTATCTTTAAAAATTTGAAAACAAGGCGGGTGTGAAAATAAGACAGGTGGGTGGAAAAAGCACCACTCCATTATTTAGAACAATAAGTAGGCCTCGGCCATTACATACATGTCCATATGTCATAAAAATTATACACTTTGACATTGATAAAAATTATACACTTGGACATAGATAAATTAATCTTGTTGCTTATCCGAATCAAACACGCGGTTTTTGCATGTAGGATTGCAAGGGTAAGCACAATCTATCTTCTGGAACGGAGTTCGGTCGTGGTACCAGTCTCCAACTGCCTTCCCAATTGTCTGCAGAACACATTTAGGTTGTAGATAAAATTTAAAACCACCTCAATAATTTTCGTTCAAACAGAAGAATTCAATGAAACAAAGAACTACAAAAATTGACAACAGAAAGCTATTCTCAGTTTTTGTTAATTTTCTAATAATCATACAAGAGAGGAGATTAAGTGAAGACTATACGACTCTTACCGTCTTACTCAACACCGGAGAGTCGGCTGCCAACCATGTCTCCTGTGTTCCAATCTGGCAGTGGGCATAGCAAGAGTCTATGAACAGTCCATGAGATGTGGAGCTGCTGGCTTGACTAAGTGCACCTAAGAACTGCAACCGATATTCTGAAACAAATTCCATATTAAAAACCCAAGTAAATTTTCCAGCGGCCGGTTTATGCCAATGATGCAATACGTAAGAAGCTTTCCTTGGTAGGTACAAGGAAGCTTCACTGGAAAAAGTAGGACTCAATAACATAGCAATCAATTTCAACTCATATGTCTTGCTAATAAGTGGACATAACTGTCTGTGGTTCCATGCTTTCATCAAATTGCTTATTATCATCTAAAGACTAAAGGAACAGGCAGCAGTGCGTGAGACCCTAAGAAACTCCAACCATCAAATTTTACTATGACAGAAAAGATTTAACCAAATTCAAATCTTGGTTTAACTTTTTACAGGGGCTATAAACGATTCTATCAGCTTCAATATGTGAAGGATTGCTTGCTGGTATGACGGAGGGTTTTGATATTCACCTTGCATGGTTTGAAGTTGACTGGGTGAGCAGTTCTTTATATCAAGCTTGCACTTTTTCCAGGCGCCTTTAGGATCAGCAATACCCGGTGCCAAAATGTTCTTTATCTGAATGGATACAACAAGGAATCAGAGAAAGTGCACGCTAACGTATTCTCCTAATGTGTACAAGTGGGGCAAAAGAAAAGATGAGAACGAGTACACAACATTTGTATTGGAAATATATACATTTCTAGTAATTGTCGCTTTTGGAGTCTCATAGCAAAGTTCAGGTGACCTACTACAAGTCTACAACTACTTTTATTTTCATACAATTCTAGAATAATAAGATAGAATATGTGACAACTGAAATAATCATAGGCCCATTTTCCATGAATTGGTTCTTGAATTAATATTGTTCTTTGTCTCACCAACAAAGAAAGCATAATAAAATCAAATCTTATAACCACAAATTGTTTATCGAGCCTACAAAGGAAAGCAAAGCAAAGAGACTCGATATGAATGATGAAAGGCTAAGTTGGTTGGATTGGGGAAAATCTGAGTTTATTCTAGGAAATTAGATAAAATAAAATATATTACGAAGATATATAATTTGGACGAAAAGAAAAACTTATTATGAACCAAACTATTACTCAGTTTTATATTTAGGGTAACAGATAGACGATATATCATAAATGCCATTAACAAGTTGCTGGAATTTAAAATTTTGATCATAAAGATGATATGAAGTATTTCAACCTGCATACAATTAAAAAGTTGTTGGCATCACATATTTTTGATAGGCACACCAAAAAAAGAGGGAAATGACAGCACAGTTCTATATCATTTTTAGAACACGAAAAGAAGAACTAGAAAGAAAAGTACTACACGATACAATAAATTGGAAAGTACTGATCTATAAATCAAGGATTAGAAGAATGAGCTAACCTGCCACGAATCATAAGCTGCATTTACCAAAAATATTGGGGTCCGGGTCACTGGTACCACATTTTGTGGGAAGAAGCACTGAACAAAAACAATTAAAAAGGAAATATCAGAA